ATAATAAACTCAGAGCTGAATCCCCGCCCACTCTCCTCACTCTACTCTGTGCCATTACCCTCTGTTTTTCACCACTGGTGCTTTCTTTTATCAGTCTTCCTGAGATGCTGAAGCACTATCCTGAAGCTTTGCTAAACCACAATTGAATATGAATGAGAATCTGCTGCTGGACCAGATGGTATATGTATCTTATCTCTTCAGAATTTGATTCAGTTTCAGAAAGTCCAGAATCGATTCATTTCGATTCAATTGAACTAAATTCAGTTAAATTAGCCATGAATCATTTGCTTCAGATAAATACCAATGTTGTGTTAATCCCTTCTCAGCATTGTTTCTTTGGATATCAAACTGTCTAAAGGGCACAAATTGGACAAACATTTGCATCTGGTTTTAAAACTGTGGACCAAGGATTTATTTTCCTTGGAAAATTCATTCATTTATTTTCAACCGCTTATCCTCTAGTAGGGTCGCGGGGGGGCTGGAGCCTATGCCAGCATCCTTTCGGGCGAGAGGCGGGGTACACCCTGGACAGGTCGCCAGTCCATCGCAGGGCAAACACACAGAGACAGACAACCATCCACTCTCAATGTCACACCTATGGTCAATTTAGAGTATCCCATTAGCCTAGTCCCCATTTGCCTGTCTTTGGACTGTGGGAGGAAGCTGGGGTACCCGGAGAGAACCCACACAGGCACGGGGAGAACATGCAAACTCCACACAGAAAGACCCCGTGTCCGAGCCGGGACTTGAACCCGGAACCTTCGTGCTGTGAGGCGACAGCGCTAACCACTGCACCACCGTGCCGCCCCTTCCTTGGAAAATTAAGCAACTAAAACATTATACATTTATATTTTGTAGGTCTATGTTTGCAAAAGAGTGACATAAGGATGATTAAAAAAAGAAAACCTGCACCGCTTACAAGGGCTATCTGATGCCTGCAGACAGCTGTTAGCTAGCGATAGCTACACGGCAGGTACCAACTAAATAGAGTATAAGCCACACACTGTTCATTCAACTTCAACAACCTCACATTTCGTAGCCAGACATTACATGTCTTCAACAAATACAAACTCAGATTGTTGTGGCTCAGGAGCTAACATAACTAGCAATCAACTGTTATTTTTTTTTTACGATCTTTGTAAAGGGGCCATTTGTACGTTTTGCTATTGCTACATGGTCAACATTAGCGTTAGCAGCCATTTACTTTACCAGTCTTGCCAAGAGCCTCAACCATTGTTGCATTTACAATACAAGTGGTTGGAATAGGCGTAGCCCTCTGAGCAGCGCTACTTCCTCATGGCAGACTGGATGCTACACTGACTTGGTATCAGAAAGTGATGAGTATGAGCTAGCTAGTTAGCATGCTAACTTCTGTACATGAAAAGAAGTGATGCAATTAGAAGCAAAAGCAGTTTGCTTTCCACCAGACAGTTCTTGGTGAGTAAAGAAATGAAGTGTGATGCTGTACTTGCAATGTTTCTTCCGGACTGGTAAGTAAACAACTGTTAATGCTATGCACATTGTAATAACTCAGTGTCCTCAAAGCAGGTCAATTTACACATCATTCACCCCTATCTGAATCACTTACAAGTAATCATTGTATACACATGACATTTGGCACAGATGATCTTATTCAATGAGAAAAGGCGGAAATGCTCAGCCTTGGGATTTTAAGCATCAAGAGAGCCAGGCTGTTTTTGAAACTAATAGAGATCTTTATTACTAAACCTGTTTTATATCATAGATATGTATAACTATATAGATCATATAGTTGTCATGCTCACAACTTAATTCTCAGCGTTTTGATCAAATTAAGCTACTGTCAATAAAAATAATCATTTCCTGCACATATGTTTCAAATTAAAAGCCCTCCAGTATCTCAAAGGGAATAACCTATCCCTTTCCTGTTCGGCCTTTAGTGTCAAACATCTGCAGGAAGAGTTGAGTTTCACTGCTAGTAGCTAAACACTGATCAAAACAGCAGAGTAGAAGAAAGCAGCATTTATAAGAGAAGCTGTGAACAGCAGCAGGGTGAGTATGAGAGGACTGTGTTGTACTGATGGAATTAGTGCGGTGGAGATGTTCATATGCTAAATTTACTATGTGAGCTTTCATGTGCATTATAACAATAATATGTTTTTGGCACTTGTCCACTGTGAACACACCGGAGACTCAAAAAAACCTACTTAGAATTAGTACTGAACTTGGAATCAGGACACAGGTCAGATTTCAGATATCCACTCAAAACATATGCTGAAAAATGACAAAGCAAACGGTTCATACATTACCAATCTGAGTCAGTGTGAATGTTTCCCTGTGAAATCTATTCACAAAATGGGTGAATAGATAGAGGGTGGTGAATCCCACCCACTGGGCCCATTTCCTGTCTAAGAGCATAAAATAAACAACTGTAAACTATTTTGTTTTCACTGTTAAAGAAGTTTCATCAAATCTAAATCATTTAATTAATTTCCTATAAATGATTTTATGACAAGCAGTAAAATACTTGGCAAAGTGACTGAAAGAGAGACAGAAGAGCTGTGAATGAATGAGCTGATCTGGTTCACAGCTGTGGGATTAAGTGACAGATGCCCTGTTTTCCTTCAGGCTGACACATACTCACACTGACTGGAAAACACACTGACATGTACCACATTTAGATCAGTTCATTATGGAAAAGCTGTCTACGGATTGGCTGGCTTAACTAAAAATTAAGACAGCCAATCCGTGTCATCCACCACTGACATGACAGATATGATGTACTTTGCCTATAGACTTTATCAATGAAACACTAGCAGTGTTTGAAAATAACTGCATCTGCTTCATTCCACGTTAGGGAACGTATCAGTACGTCCTGTGTCCCATTTAAACTGCAGTCTGGTGGATGAAGTTGTTGATAATTTGAGATTTGTTGGTTCAGCACAGAAGGGTGATCAGATTGTCACTAATCATCTGTCACCACTTAAGATACTCTGAATTCATGCGGTTCCCAAACATTTTAGCTCAGGGGTTTCAAAAGTTGTTGCATAAAAAAGCTGTTGCATACACATCTTTACTTTTGAAACATCTTATTTGAACACTTTTGTTTAAATAAAATAAGTCTTTTTAGAGATTAAATTAGGCTTCTAATGTAATCTTGTTTTTTTAAAGATTAAATAAGAAGTCAAACAATTATTGAACACAGCAAAGTAAGTGAGATACCAAACTAAATCTTCAAAGCGCTGCTTTTTATATCGCTGTCTCAACATCGTGTGTAAATCCTTTCAATATATGCTCTCGGCAAACAACTGATTTGTGGAAAAATTTAGGTGATTTGCCAGATAGTGAGAAAAAACACTTCTCTGCAGAGCCTCATGCGTCATGGATGTCACTTAACCCTGTGCAAACACATAATATGTCACAAAGGAAGCTCTGACCTTCTTCAGTCCGTATTCTGATGTTCCCTCTGACTGATCCAAACATCTGAAGCTCATTTCCAGCTCACTCTGCCTGTGCGCAACAGGCATGTTGTGCGCCGGCCTATGTTGGCACATACTACTCTTTTGATAATGTGCACTTAAAATAACAGTTAAATACTGCACCACCGACTTCACACCAGATTATTGTTGGTCAATCACTTTCTGCTGCCTCAAGATAACAATGTGCTTGAACACACCTCATTTTACACGCCCATGGGTGCACAGATAAGTACAAGGGTATTTGCTATTTATACAACATGGGCGCTGTACGGGGAAAATGACAACTGTGCCGGTTTGAAACTAGCAAAAACACTTGAGTTGCATTTTCGCAGCGCCCTGCGTCTTTAATACGCATTGGTGGTTGATGCGGGGATGCACTGTAGAAAGGAATAAACGTGGATCGTACTTCCTCCGTTTTCTCTTCACTCCAGACTCTGCCTCCTCTCTCACTGTAGGTACAACAAATCAATCCATTTTGCCACATGCATAGCTGAGTTTAGATAACCAGATGTTTACAGTTATTTCTTTTACTTTATTTTTTCTCCCATGAAGATCTATGGCGCGTTCTCTGACAGCTAGCAGTAGTAGCAATAATGCTAACACTTACAGTAACAATACCAATAGTGGAACTGCAGTAAAAGGGTAGCGGGAGTAAGAATTCTAGTAAAGTATTGGCAAATGAATTGGGGAAATAGTTAAATAGGTATAGTAGCAATAATGGTAGACATGGATTAAAAAATAGCACAGCAGTAATAGTAGGTATAGTAGTGGTAGTGCTAGTAGTACTGCAGTAGTACTAGTAGGAATCAGAATGCTGGTAGTGATAGCGGTTACAAAAGCAGCAATAGCAGAAAACAGTAGTGGGGAAGAGAAGTAGTAGCAATAACTGAAGTAAATAGTTCTGGTATGCCTATATGTAGTAGCAGCAGTAGGAGTCATGGTGGTGTGACGACTAGTAGTGTTTTGTGTGACATGATGGAATATTTTGCAAATTTAAACGGTAAAATTAAAATGTCTGTACATTAATTAAAGAGCTGGGACAGAGAGGCAATTAGCTTAGCTTAGCATAAAAACTGGGAGCAGGTGGAAACAGCTAGTCTGGCTCTGTCATAAGAGAAAAAATGTACAGGAGCTACTCTGTCTCATCTATACACATACAAAAATGTAATTATGGCATATTGTATGTAACCATAGCTGCACAGTGTGTGAGCTGTGAGGCCTCACAGCACAGAGGCCTTCAGCTGAGTCCGATTAGCACAGGGCCACATCCTCCAGAGCTACTTTCAAACATATTTCATCATACAGTGTTTTTTCTTATTTCATAGCTCCATTCCTCGACCACAAACCGACTATTGTAGTAAGAATTTATGGGGATTTAAATTCATTCAAAACCAAAACAATCAAGAAATAACCTATTAGAGGAAATGCTGCATCAATGGGTCAAATACAAGTCTTTTCTACCATGTCAGCATATATACACCACTGAAAATGAAATCCAAAGACTCCAAACATCTGCATCTCAAATGCCTTGTCTGGACTCACCGAAACCCCGCGTGAAACATGTACATCCTGGGTCCTCCATTAGGTCCGTATCTGGGGGTGCTGAGCAGGAAGTCCTTTTTGATGGACACGTAGCTGATGAGCGACAGGATGAGCAGCGCCACGCTGAACATGACAAGCCCCAGCGCACTGGCGATCCGCACCATAATGCCTCTCTGCGGGAAGCAGCCCCCCCGGACCAGAGGATCACTGACCGGCCAGGACGAGGAGACAGCGAACACCCAGGCGCACCGCATCAGCGGCAAAGCGAGGGCGGAGACGCAGAGCCGACGCGTGCTTCACGCAGAGTCCATGTATGGAGGAAACGTAGTTGCGGTGTCGCGCGGGTGCAGCGTTATCTTATGGCGAGTTTCATCGACTGAATGGGAGGTTGCGCGGCAGCGGTAACGCATCGGCGGCAAACGGAAGCGCAGAAATGCAAAAGGCCGGAAAGGCGAAAAAGGACGCGTCAATCGCGGATTTACTGACGCTTTTCACAGAGTTCATGAAGGCTACAGAGTCCACGTGTGGAGCAAGAGTGAAGAGCAGGAGGTCGCGGTTTGTAGCAGAATTTAACAACCTGAACGTGAGGCAAGGAGGTAACGGCGCGGCGGCGGAAGAAAAGACGCAGGAAGAACGAGTGTGACGCATGGACAGTCCATGTATCCGGGGATGGAGAGCGGAGGACGGAAGAGGGTGGGGGGATCTTGGAGGTTTTTCTGCAGGCATGCAGGATCAGATTGCAGCCGGTTTCATAACCGCAAGCCGGTGAAACGAGGCGGAGTAGACAGAGGCGGCTGCCGGATGCTGTTCCCTCTCTTCATCTGCATCCTCGGCATCTCTCTCCTCCTCTCTCTCCTCTCTCTTCGATGGTCTAATTAATTAAGCCCCAGTATCGCTTTAAGGAGACGCAGCTCTTGTATCGCGGTAATCAGATGAATAGCAGCAGCAGCAGCATCCGAGGCGGAGCTCTGCGTCCTGATGGAGGCAGAGAGACGCAGAGAGACAGGACACCCTCAGGGCTGCAGGGGCGTAAAGTGTCAGTCTGTAAACAAACAAAAAACCTGGCTCCAGAAACATTTAAACCCATCTATTTTCTCCCCTTGTCTGTAGTCACTTGTATCCTATGAACATATAGCTCATAGCATAACTAATAGAATACAGAACCTATATGTTCACATCATATATGGAAAAAAAAATTTCACACATTATAAACAACAGGCCTAGGTCATGGTAGGCTTGTTTTTTAATAAAAAGCTACTGTATGTATTGCTATATATTGTTTGAATATGTTGTGAAATATATATCTTTATACTCAACATTAAAATACTATGATATGTGATTTAATTATCCTATGTTCTTAAGTCTTATGAAAACATGGCTACATATTAGCCTATAGACCTACAGTGGGTACGTACAGTATGGACTCAGGTATGATGAAGCCTCATACAATTTTCACTTTGTTTCACGAAAAATCTGAAAATCTTTGAGCTAAATGCTAATGTTAGCCTTCCAACATGCTCAATAAAAATGCCAACATGCCGATGTTAGTTTAACTAAAGCTCTCAAATAAATGTAGTGGAGTAGAAAGTACAATATTTCTGCTCATGTGGCATTTGGCCAATGGTGGAAATATGATCACTCACTCAGTCAGTCAGTCAGTCAGTGACATTTGTCATTATAGGGCTGGCCCCTGCTGTTGTGGTCCAGCCAAAAAGGTAAAAGACTAACTACACCACCACAACCATACAAAAGACTATTAAAATGAAACAATAATCAATATGTTCATGTCAAAATATGTACTACAACTAATCATCCATTGTCTCACTGACTGAGCACCAGTGTTTGTTAAAATTAGATAATATGTGACATTTTATATTGATAATTAAATGACAAGTCAACGCTAGAAATGAAAGGCGCGCTATCATCTAGCTAACAAATTAGAAACTAGCTAACATTAGCGTTCATCCATAGATACTTGACAGAATCTAATTCAGAAACTCAGAAGGTAAGAAAGTGTAAGCCCACAGTGCCTGCACAACACATGGGAGCAGAGATTTGAGGGCAAGAGCCACTGCTGGAGTGAGGCAGACAGACAAAACATTCAACTAACATCAAGGTTAAGAAATGGTACGGCCCACTTTAGGGGTGTGTGAGTAAGGGAAATATGTCGTAATATACTGTTTACAATTACAGATAAGTAGGATATATAAATGTATATATGTAAAAGTCAAGAAAGCTCTCCAGGATGTAGGCGTACATGTTTCCTTATCAACAATCACGAGAAGATTTCATGACCAAAACCTCAGAGAATTCAGAACAAGATCCAAACACCTGATGAGTCTCACAACAGAAACCAGGCTGCAGAAACCAGTGGAGCTCTGGAACAGAAATCAACCTCTGTCAAAATGATGGAAAGAGGAAAGTGTGGAGGAAAGACAAAGGAACAGCTCATGACCCAAAGCCACCACATGGAACATGGTGGTTCTGTTATGGCTTGAGCATGAATGGCTGCCAATGGAAATGGCATGCTGGTGTTTGTTGATGTTTTCGCTGCTGGTGGAAGCAACAGGAATGCAGAGCAATAAAGCAGAGTTCTGTGCACAGATTCAGACAAATGCATCAAATCTCACTCAGCAGGACGACAATCTTAAACAAGAGCCAAGAAATGACCTGATCTCAGTCCGACTGAGCTGCACTCCACCTGCTGAAGACCAGACTGAAGCCAGAGAGTGAAGGCCCTGGAGAGCATCACCAGGGAAGATACAAAGCATCTGCTGATGTCTGTGGGTCCATAACTTCACAGTCACTGCAAAGGATTTACCACAATATGTTAATTTATGATGATTTTGTTTTACTTCATGTGTATCTGTCCAATTACTCCTCAACCCCTAAACTTTGGGCACCATGTGCTCAAAGGGCAGCATCTCACACACAGTTCTTTCTATATTGATGTAAACCTCAAACCTCAAAATTAAAGCCGAGACTTCTATTTCAAATTGAAGAATAAAGACTGAAGAATAAAAAATGTGTAACTGTTCAAATACTGTAAATAAGTGTTGATTGTTATAACAATGTCTGTAAAATTGTATTAGATATTGGTGACTGACACACATTGATATATATATATATATATAGTATACGTGTAGTTTACACATATGGCAATATATCTGATTCTTGTACGGGATATCTAGCAGTTATTTAAGTTTAATGACCCTTTTGTTCATTATTCCAATAATTTCATTTTTATCACTTTAGTTAAGACTGCAGCACTGGTCTAACCCAAATGTACATGAAGTTGACCAGAGGGATACAGAATTAACCTTAAAAGACATACGAGCTGTGTCCCAATTCAGGGTCTGCATCCTTCAGAGGCTGAATTTGAAGACCAGTTGCATCACAGCAGCGCAACTTGAGCTAGAGAGGTGGCCTTCTTTTCCTGGTCATCAAAGGCTCCAACGGTGGATCCTTCGTGGCCCAACCTATCCCAAGATTCATTGCGTGCCAATAATGCAAATAATACGGCGGCAAAATACACCAACAGAGACCGTGCGGATTACACTTACAAATGTAAGTGCTGGGTTTCAGCTCAGTTCAACAGTTAACGGTAGAAAAACTATTAAAACCAAGGACCTTAAAACATCAAGTTTTTTGCGAAAAAGTTTTTTGCCTTTGAGGTCTACAAAGGGCAACACCTTAGTGGAACGTGTCCTTTGAGGGATGCAGTGCCTGAATTGGGACGCAGCCACAGTGACCTCTCAGCAAAAAGGTAAAAGAAATATTCCAATCACTGAAACAACGGGTTCATTTCTCATTTTAAGTGTGGTTAACAGTGGTAAAGCCATTCTAATGCATTGACCACAATTCACCTCAGCATTATATGATTACAGATGTAAGCAAAGGATTCAACATGGCATCGCCTCCTGCTGTAGGTTTGTGTCTGACTTTGAATTTGGTGTCTGGATGTCTAAAGGATTCGGTCACTCCAGTCAGAGGTGAAGAAACACATGTTCTCCACCACTGAAGGTTTCCTTCATGTCAATCATTTCACACAATTATTTCACACACTCGCCCCAAAACACAAACAGACAGACAACAGGAGGCTCAGTGGAGACGTCAGGCAGACAGACAGGTTGCCACGGCAGCTGGCATTTCAACAGTGACCTTTCTACTGGTCTTAAGGCCTGAACCTAACACACATACACACACACACACACACACATACATACAGCAACAGCAGCAGCAGCAGTCCCAAACTTACCAGTCAGTGTTATAGTTTCCAGTTGATGCAGAAAGCCACTGATGACAGAAATTGTAATAGCTGCGGTGTTTTCTACTGACCGTACAGACAGTATGTGGTGGAGAAAATGTGCTGTTGAACAAATTGGGAATATCACAAGTCTTCCCTTTGGAAATGTGTATGTAGGATCCCTGAGCAGCACTTATTTGCAGTTGGGCCACAGAAACACAATTACAGTAATTGCCTGAGAGGTATAAACATTTCTAACAGCAGACGTGTCTGTGTAGGAAAAGAACAGGTGTAAGCAATAACATTAACAATGAGCCACGCTCTATTTAGAGTGAGTCAGCGAAGCCTGTAAACAAGCAGAAAACAGACATTATTAATATTAGCAATCAGATCATGTCCATCACAAACGCACTGCGAGGTTCCTTTCTACTAGATCGGCCTTTTGCACAGGAGGAAAAACTAATATCAAAGTAATGATAGCTGAAGTCCGTTTAGCTGCTTCATCAGTTTCAGGGTCCAGGCGTTGTTCATGCTGACTCACTGTCACACTGTCATGAACAAACAGAGTCATCCTTAATGTTATTACACACACCTGCTTTTCCTCCAACGACAAGTCAAAATGTGTGCTACAGAAAAAAAGTCCAATTGCTCTGCACTCAACCCTGTTAAAGGATGTGATGCCATTGTTCCACTATCAGTGATAAAAACATTTTGAGCAGACCAATCACAAACTGTAAAAAGTGTGTGAGAGCAATGGAGCAGTTTGTAGTCTTGTAATGTGATATTGTACATGGTGACGATGACAATTAGAGTAAGAGCAAGAAGAATAATTTGAAAACAAGATATATATATATAAAGGATAAAAAAAAAATGAAATTATAAATATGTTCAAAGTATATAATAGCATGCTTGGGTGCA